GTCGAGGTAGTCTGTTAGGAAGTCTTGAAAACCTCTGAATTAGTGCAAAATAGAATCCGACCAGAACTATTGTCCTAAACTGAAATGCATCATTCTTTCACATCGTGCGGTAGAATTTTGTTTTAATGTTTCATTATACGCACCCATTGTCGTACAACTTGGAGTTACACTTAGCTTCTTGCCTATTAACTCCTTTTTGAGCTTTCATAAACGATCTTCTACTGATTGACGAGATTCAATATTTCTGAACAAATCCAAAATATGAAGATACTTAACAATTCCTTTGGTCATCGACATACTTTCAACCGCACACAGAATAGAACGTACACATTTGGAATGCATAAACGAGCTGTGAATGTTGAATTTCAAACGTACGCCAAAATAGCAAACAAAGTGTTTCAATCATTGAGTTTAAGAATCTAAGCTAAAAAAATTGCATTTCATGAGTGTTGTGGCCTAAAACTGACTTGTATTCATACGTGCCCGTGGCCAAATTGATTGATCGATCGATTGATTGACTGGCTGTTTGAATGCTAGCCTGACGGCGTTCGCATGTAGTGCGACATGTGAGCCGGTGTCGGCCAACCTTCCTTCCTTCCTACAAGCCGCTCGTTCTTGCTTGTTTCCCGGTTTGTGAACAGGCTACACATTTGCTGTTTACAACAAACTTACTGCTTAATTCGTTTTGTACCCATCTACCTTCTCAATTGGGAACACAACAATGAGCTTGACACATTTGGACATCGCTGATTTTGAGGAATTCTGATCTACACTTATGTGAACGGTTTAAGTACCGGAATTTTCCTTGTCGTTCTCTGCCGACATTATTCTGCACTATTCATTTTAGGGGATATCATGGTTTCAAACGAGTGCTACAGAGGAGGCTATTAAATTGCCATCAGTACTCTTTTCTCATCGAGACGCATCACTCACCGGCGACTTTCCTTTACTCGTCACCTTCTATGATTATTTTGTTTAAGTTACTAATCGATGAAGTAGCGGAACAACTTGTTTCTTTCGAAAGAACTTTGTATATCATCAAAATTTATTGTACTCCCTTTCACGATATCAAACTTTTACAAGGACCAAGAGTTCTGTTCGTATTCCAATCAATAGTTCTAGATTAGAAACCAGAGAATGAGTGTTTTCTGGTTAGCTCAAACAACCTGACAAAAAAAGGAACGCAGTTGAACGTCGAAGAAGATCAAATTTGCACTGATCGAATGAAGTAGATCATACATATGTTTTGAGCATTCCCATCAAAAACGGACAAACGAACAACCCACCATATTGTTGTAGTCTTGGAATCATGAGGAGGTTTGGATGGAGCTTGCTAAGCGCGTATTTATTACAAAGGGCAGATTGTGTCATTTCCAAGAATAAATAATCGAACGATTAGGCATCACAAACATTGAGCTATATTAAGTAGGTTAGAAACCACTTGGATATAAGTAAATTCAGGTTATCCGATGTGTTCATGAGTGATAAAGCAGACTTCAGAGAAAAAGATAATAATTGGCATCTACAATACGTCCTTCCTTCCAAACTGACAAAAGTTTTTCTCGTTCCTCATTGTATTTGTCTGATGAAAATTAGTTAACCAAGGATTTGCTTTACTTTCCATGAGTTAAGGGTTAACAAGCACATTTATATTTCCCTTCGTCAGATCCTTTCCAATTCTAATAGATTCTAAATACGGTTTTATTCGAAGTCAGCTCGTTTGAACTAGCAAAAAGGCGTATGTAGCTTGTCTAGAGTATGACAAACAAGCAAGATACTATGAAATTTACTCCTTCGTTACGGAACGCAGTAAAAGGATACTTTGTTTTTTAACATTTTTACCCTCTTCCGCTCAAAGGTAATCGTAATAAGGCGTTATAACTCAACATTTCCAAAGCATACCACGAAATCAGGTGAAAATAGCATAAACACGTCGACAGCGAACGACTTTTGCATATAAACTACGGAAAACAGGAGGACATATATAGCGACATTCAATTGTAAGCCTGCTACTTGAGCAGCATTAAATCCGTAGGTATTACGTGAGAAAATAAATGTGAATCACTAACTGAAAGATAGGATATTTTCGACCACGGAACAGTATCAGACTCACCCCTCCACTACCTTCACTGCTCGCGGCGTAAGTTGAATCACGTCCGCTATCCAAACTGGCCGCACTGTGACGCTTTGTACTGACCCACGCAGGTGTCATGGTCTGCGCCGTCGGATTACCAATATGAAGCACAGTTCCATCCGAACTGCACTCTGTACTGGAGCCATTCAGGTTGGACTTGTTCATCTTGGTGGTTTGTGACATCCCGGTTGCTGTTGTTGCCGTTGTCTGCATCGTCATCATTTTCATCCCTGTAGGTCGTGGACCAGTCGGAGACCCGGGACCTGAATGTCGGGTTGGCATTTTAAGCTCGACCGAAGAGGACATGATGTGTGTTCGAGGTGGAGCAGCTTGGACCAGTTCAACTGAACGTCCACCACCGTGATTTGTACCACTGTCTGCCTCGGCTTCTGAACTGCACGAGTCGTCCGTATCGCTAAAGTATTCGTCGACTACATCATCGGGGAAGTCAGTTTGAACCTGCACATGTTCGCATGGAGGGAAAAAGCGAAAAAGGGCAAAGATTAAGGTGGTTCAACAGTAGTCGCTCCACTTTTATTACTTGAAAATGCATCCTAATCTGGGTTATTTCAAAAGGTAATTGACGGCATTTTGCTTGACCTGTACTCATACGTAAATACCACATAGTACATTTTCCTAATACATCTCAGATCAAATACAGCCATTAAAAGACGAGTTTGGTCAGTTGGAATCCATCCACTTCTTGTGCTGACGGCACCAGTGTTCCCACAGTGTTATATAATGTAGAGTAGTGAACTTATATCTTATACAGGAACTCAGATTGTTGGCAACCAAATATCGGATACGTCTAAGTATATTACTAATGATATAAACATATGGTGCACTTCGTCGTGTACAGAGCGGAAGCATACCACTCACTTGACCACCAAGTAGGATTTCCATTTTGTGTATACACGCAATAGCATAAGCTTCTTGAGGGTATCACATTCTCTACTCCCAGGATCTAACCCGGTGGTCAGCAGAATGCTTGCATTCTCGACCCTGGAGGCCAAGATATCGATCCTAAATTAGGTCGATAAATTCGCAGAGCGAATGACACCCAATTAGGTGAAAACAGCTTTTCAATCAACTTTTGTTTGCCCTATACACGACAAAATCCACCGCAATATCTTCTCATGCAAAATAATATGAATACCTCAACCGTGGAGAACAATTAGAAATACACAAATTATATCATGAGTCTAATCAGAGTGACTCTGACAATATTGCGGTCGGTAGCAGTAACAAGTTGCATTCAATCTAGAGACCGGTCAAGACTAAACCAGTGAATGATCGAGGCGGATTTGTCATCATCACTCGGCATAAATCAATGCTGCATGCCGTTGGCGGTCGACTATCAACGTCCACTCACTGTCGCATGTTAACCCTAGCAGCACTGGTAAAAATTAATATCCGCTCCTATTTTATGAGACACAAGCACCAGTGCTCTCCTGGCCCAATCCCGCCAGACACACATTCACAGCCCACGTCAACAGAACAAGCTTTACAATCGGTTGGGTGAACAAAAAATAGTGAACACAGTAAAATTCACATCCGGTCTAAATATGAAAGTAACCGGTTCTGTCCTCACTGGAGTCGATCGATTCGTACCGCTGGTGAAACCTAACAAATCCGTGCCCCTTAGCAAACCATGGTCCCCTGCAGCCTGTGATCTGATGTTTCTCGACATAGAAACATTCTTAATCCGAATAATGATACATATATAGTGATCGTTTGGCGAATCACTGTGAAAGATAATGTTTACCAGCATGTATTAAAATTGTGATCTTTTCTAAAATCTGATTACGTCCCGTTAGTGAGAGGGTGACCAAAAGCTCCTAATTAACGGATTCCTTTTTGGGAAACTTAGTATCCGGATTTCCATCTCCGCCGATGTAACTGTTTTGTGGTATGTAGTTCGTTGTATTCAAGAGTTGTTTGCACACACTTGTTCGATTAAAGCGGTTGAAGTGGTACGTCGGAATTCGATGTGCTGGGAACCAGCAAATATTTCGTCTTGCCGTCTTGACCGGAAGTGACATGACAAACCAGACTCACATGTGGTTGTTTTCCGTTTGTTGGTCTTGTGACACATGGTCGATTGTTATGTGGGATTTGAGATGCGGATTCAATTGGCCTAAATCTGTCAGATTCGAGAGGTCCACTACTGATTGCGCCTTCCAAATTCTTCGGATCACGTGAAAGTATATGTGCGATTCCAGACGATAATTCTCTCCACAGAGTATACGTTTCGATAGGAAATGGTTGTTCCTCAGGTTAATTTAAATTAATCTGAATGAGGTTTTTCTAATGTTCACGCCTATCCCAATTACACCCAGTTTATAATTATTGGAAACATGACCATTGCTTGAAGTTAAAAATGATAAGTATGACGATGAAAAAATCATCTCTAAAATCTCAAATTATTTGTTTTCGAAAATCTGATCTTTTCATCCATAAAATAAAAATTTTGAAGGAATTAGAAAGAATTAATGACGTGATTTAGATGCTGATATTTCTAATGGATGGATTCACAATTTATGATGACACACTGGAATTTCTGATAGAGGAATATTGATCACAAACAAATCGATTAACCGATCAAGTTCAGCCCATTATTTACACATAATGAGCAAACCAACTGGTTCTGGGAAACAGCATAAATTTGTGGTCTATAGAAGAAATCACCAAAAGTTTATTCCGTTTATTTTCGACTTTTTAGATAAACCTATCTGAGGTAGGATGCTGAAATGAAGTTTCTACCTGTGTTTTGTTCCTCTAGAAAACGAGTCTTCTGTTTGTGGTTAGGGTTTCCAAATAGTACGCTGAATTCAACGTCTCCAGAAGTTCATTCAAGGTTTTGGCGTCAGTTTGTTGGGTGATTTATTCAACTCCTGAGTGGCTAGATCCTCCTCACTATGTTTGTGTTGTCGCACGAAGTTGGGAAGGAAAAACTCTACTGAAAGAGGGCACTCCCAATAGCTTTCATTTCACTGCCACTTTATACCGGGTTAGCGTATTTTTTGGTTCTTGTATGCTTCAGGTCTCACTAAGGTTTATTAAACACTTTGTAAGCCTGTGCTTCCAAATGCATCAAACGGGCAATCATCAGACCGTATAATTGAACCAATGGCGGTCATCGGATTCATTTGGAGGAGACACAATCAAACTCTAGTGCTCCTTTGAGTGACCGTCACTAGACAGAAATGTGCCATTCCCAAATCCACCCAGTTCTTCCAAATACGCTCATAAATATGGTACAGTCCTCTGGTCTGAACGATTAGTTTATTCATTTGGTTGGAGTCGACAGACACATGTGAGAGAGGTGTGAGATCTTGGAATGTGGTTCAGAGAGTACAAACTCCTCAGTGCTTGTTCAGCGAGTGAACCAGAAAGTCGAGCAGTGTAGAAAATAGTTAGTTGTTTTTGCTCTGGTTGCGATCAAAAGAGGCCATTTGATTCCATGATCAGGCTTCCAAGTCTAGAATCCAGTTACTAAGCATGAATAGGAACTACCATGATGGTTCTGGTTTCTGGACTACTGGGGCAAAATATTGTCTCTGTTTAACATACTAAATGCATATCATATTACTAAACAAAGTAGGGAACTTTAACAGACTACTTTATCATCATTGTTGAATGGAACAAACTGAAGGTAGAACGTCTGTATTCAGTCATATGTGAAATAAAATTAATTTCAGAATCATCTCAAGAAGATAAGTATCACTGACATTTAGTGTTGGCTGTAACGTTGAATGGGATGCACGTAGCTGCACAACTCAAAGTTAAAATGAGCAAAATAATTTACAGCAAGCGATTTTCATTTCTATCACTATACTCTAATACATTTCGCACAGAGGTTTTCAAATAGTTTCAGGGCTTAAATAAATCAACAGATCAGAACAAGAAAATCCTGACTACTCGTTCTACATTCGCTTTAAAATGTTATTCCCAAATGAAAACAAATTTAATGAACTTTCGTCATTTTATCACATTTGATTTAACAAATTATTTTTGAATATCGTTAGGTTTCTTCGAACTTACCGCAAAATCCACTTTAGTCCTCGGCAATGGTGAGATTAATGGAGATGGTTTTGAACTGGGGACGAAAGTGATCGCCCAACCGGGGACCAGACCAACTGGTTGAGGTCCATGTGCGGTGAGAAAACCGCGATATGTTCCGTGCCGATCCACTACGGGGGTCGTGGTATTGCAAAAGATCTGAATCAGGAAAAGAAAACAAGGGCGACAGAATTTTACACTTTGTGAGATATGCTTGTTTATGGATTCATAGTGAACCATTTTTTAGAGTAGCAAGCTTGGATTAGCCCATCCGTTTGTTAAGAGGCACCAGGCACTCTTGATGTTCTTGGGCCATTTGCACAAGGTGATAACCGTCGACCGTGTAGCTGAGGGGTAAGGGTTTGAGGTCCTAGTCCGCAAGTTCGTTGTTCGAGTCCTGACAGGGATATAAAAAGTATGCACTGCCGGCGAGTCCCAAACAGGACAAAACAGCCATCCAGTGCGCTTTGCTGGTAATCACAAACATTTATACATAGTGAACCAAATCAGTAATGGCACTGAGAGTGCGACCAAATAGTCCTGAATGGATGTTGAATGATACGGTAAAAATTAACTCATACTACTCATTGTGATACCAGAAGGGAATATGTTAAGTTGTACATCGTACAGTGTATTGTCAATTGTTATCCGTATCCCTAGCATGTGCCAACATTTCAGACAAAAGGAACCTATACATTTTCTCAGTGACTGATAAGAAAAGTGAGAAAGTGATTCATAGTTTTAAAAAAAATGTTTTACACAAAGTAGGTTGAAACAGCACAAGATCGGAGAGCTGTTGGTCAAAAGGTTATCAGGAAACTTCTGTTCTGACGGGAGTTCTAAAAAGTGGTACAGAGCAACTCTTAGGCAGCTGCAAAACATGATTCCATTAGAGAGTGATCGCTAAAACGCTCACCATAGGCTATTGGTTAGCGCAACCACAATGCCAATGTACCCTAAATTTGACTCACTTTTTTGCGCGCTGTAACTTGGGAGCCAGTTCTTGACCAGGAATAGGTTAAACTGTTTCTAGAAATTAACCGAAGTGCGCTTACAATTCCCAAGCAAGAAACTAATTATTTCACTACACTACGTGAATATACTTTAGTGAGACTTCGGTATCATCAACTGTTGCTTGCAAAGAATCAACCACAAGTAAAGCATTCAAAAGGTTTAAGTAATCAAACTAAGAATCAGGAACCGGTTTCGAACCGCTCCACCACTGCCCATCTTCCCCGTTTCTATATTTTCCCAGGTGACCTTTGTATCGGTGTGACCACTTTCCTGAAAGTTCATTGTAATTTTGTACAATAAAAAAGTAAAAAGAAAGTAAAAAGACATTTGTTATTTGTTATTTTATAATCGGTAATCAAGCATGAATACCGTTGGATCAGGTTGCGAACTGATATCAGAAAAGTACTTGATAGTTGGTTCGGGATTCTAATGTATTGCAACTCTGTGAGCAAACGTATTTGCTTACATAGTGAATTTCACCGTGTGTAAATCAAAGAAAGCGAGAAAAACAGTCTGATCAGCTACTCGGTGGCGCAGTGATTAGTCAGTGCTTGCGTTCTATATGTGAGATCTCGGGTTCGATCCCCAGTTGGGTCCATGGATTCGCACAGCTGATGAAACCTGACTAGGTCGAAACAATTGTACAGCTGTACTTCCTAGCTTTTCAGCTTACACTTCGTTTGCTTTACATACATAGAACCGTCCACTAGTCTCATTCAACAGGATTTACTTGCAGGTTTGCCTTGTTAGGTTCGAAACAAGTCGCGTGCATTCGCTCGTGTATGCAGTCAGCTTGCATCCAGCAAGTGCCCCTCAATTTACTCATGCATTTATGCTTATTCCAACAAAAATTGAGAGCACGATGAGACTTTTCTTTTTCCTGCACCCATTGCTTCTATAAGGCTATATCGGTTCAGACGGAATATTACCAGATATCACAAACCACGGTCTGTATGATGTGAATCACTCAACAATGGTATTCGATTTTAGGCCCGTCATGTATGCCTGTTGAAACTGTTTAATAAATATAATTGTACATTTTACGTTCCCTTGTTTATGTGATCTGCTCAATAAGCGTGTTGTGTTGTCTATTTGAATTTGTCCCAAACCTTACCATTCGGCCACTTATTTCCAATTCAACCGTCTGGTTTTAGGAATCCATTCACTTTGTACTATTTGATACATGTCTCAATATTGGACCATGCAGTTGTTTGCATTCGTTTCTCAGCCACACGCGGTTTAACATGAAATCATCTTTTGATGATCTTTCATCTGATAACATTGGTCCTGCGAGAAAATAAGTTTATTCAAACATTACAATGCGGACTTTTATGATTTTCCTTAAAAAGATAAATTCACTCATCTGTTGAACGAAAGCCGGGCTCATCGGGACAGGTAACAGTCTTAAAATGAGGTAACTACGTATCGGATTCGTTTAAGCATCCTGGAAAATAATCGTAATAAGCCGTTTGGACTATTTAACTCGTTTAATCCAGAAATAATTGAACCCACCAAGAACTTGAAATAAAATCATTCCCGACAGGATTTGACCATACACAATGGTGGCTACTTTCCTGCAAATCATACGGCACCTAACTGCCGGAGCCGAATCGGAGCTTATTTATAGGGTTATAAAATTTCTCTTTGTGTGTCTGTGACGTAAATCCGGCGAAGCCACCAAGACAAACTGCTCGTGTGCCAATTTGTCTTCCGAATCCGAGGAACAGAGAGTTACGCAGGTCGTCTGTTTTCGCATGTGGAGTTTGGTCTGTCTCCCGCGGGTGGTTTATATTTGCGTGCGTGTGCGCTTTTTGTCCAATCAAATGGCGAAATCAGTAGCTTCTTACGTGTGCTCGAGCATAACCGAAGAACAAGTTTACAAAATCAAATAGATATTTCATGAGTGGCTTCTATTGGGTTCAATTTTGGCACGATCCGTGATTGTCAGGTAACTGGGAGAGGTTTAATGACACAAACCAAATTGTAATATGTGAAATGCGTGCTCTTCAGTTGGACGATCTTTGCGGTGCGTACGCTGACATCCACCTTCAAGAATTATGATGGAAACAAATGAACGCGTAAACAGGTACCTCGACAATGACGGTTTCCGACAATTGTAGCTGTCATATGGAGTCCGATTCAGAAAACTTCCGAGGTCATATATACTTTGCTTCATAGCATTCTAGACCTATTCAATCACTTTTGTCAGAAATTCCTCATTGCTATTTTTTGAGTTCTGCGCAAGGAGAAAATCTTAAATCGAAACTGTTTCCTTCAGCTGGAGAACAAAACGCGGCGAGTAGATTCAAAGGCGAGGTAGATTAGCGATGAGAATATCAAGTTTAGCTTTATCTCGACCTAATTGCACGTATATAGTTCCTATGCTCATTAAGGTTAGTGAAATCCTTGGATGCGCATCATCAATTTTCTATCTTTAGGTGCCTGGTCAAATAATAAAACAGTTATTAGTCCTTGATATGTTTCACTTTTTCCAGTATGCCAATCATCAAATCAGTCAGGCCTTGAACTTTCACATTGACGGGGGGAGGGGTAACGTGTGAGGATGATATTATGCATCAGCAATATTATAGCTGACGGACATAACGGCGGTCAAGTAATTGAGGCCATCATCTCACCCTACCGAATATGTTAGGAGTTCGAATCCCACCACTACAGCCCAGCACTTCTCTTTTAAGTGCGTTTCCGACGGCGCCTAAATCGCTACAGCCCATCCGTTTCCTAAAGGCCATTGGTACATTTGCATATTGAATAAAATAAAATAAAAATTATAATAATATTATTGCTACCATGAANGAAAGTTCGTCAAATTGGTAAACTTCCTACGGGTTACAGAGTCCCGCTATTAGCCGTGTGCCCATGGGAGATGTAGCAAATGATGACCGACTCAGTCAACAATTTAACCGCCGTGAGGTGATCTCAAAGACTGATCACTGTGCAGCCGAAGATCTTTTAGAAAAGTGAAATAACTGTTTTTGTTGTTTAAAACATAACAAACTGGATCCGATAATAACGGTCCAGTAACATGACCGGTTATAGTTAAAGTTGTAGCTGAATTTTGATTGTAGATGGGATGAACAATTCAGAATAGTGGTACATGCTCGTCACGCGTTGAACAGTGTGTGAAATTGTGCTTTCTCAATCGCTATGAATTGAAAATGGACTAATGGGTTGATCTGATTTTTGTTTTGCACTGATCTTTCTTACAGATAAGCACAGTTTGAACCTAAACTCCTGCTCATGAGTCTTGGTGTTATTTTTCGGTTGATACGACGACCGTTGACCAACCAATCAGACCATTCCATTCCCTCTCTTCACCTCAGCTCACCGCCATCATCAAATGAACCCAATCACAGTGACAGGTTGACTGATCTCCAGAGATCGACCTCAGCTCTCCAACCACTCCAACCAACCGGTA